TTCCCCCCCCCCCCCCAGAGTTTTCTGGTTCTTAATGTTCTTTTTTTTTTAATGTATTATATTGTTGTAAAAGTAGCATTGTACATTGTATTATTCTGATATCGTGGCATGTATACAATGCTAATTAAAAATTATTAACACTCTAATGTTTAACTAGTTTAAGCCATTGAATATTCAGTAAAGAAATCCTATCACACTAGAGTTCTGAGTGCAAATCTTGGTCTTTCTGGTAGCATAGGCAAAGACCCTGATTCCGTATCATCTATCAAATTAGGCAACTTTGCATGGCAGAAGGCTCTTTTATGATTTTTAGATCAAATAATCAGACAGAGAAAAACATTACTGATAACCAGGTATATTGCAAATAGATTACTGACAGTCTCCTAATTAGGTCAATGAAAATTTAGACCTCAGTAACAAGTATACACGAATAAAAGTTTGGCATGTAGCAGCAACAGAGAACTGAATGTCAACAGCCAGCAATCTTAGTTGGCATAATCAGTGCTGAGGGGATGCCAGAAAAAGTCACTCAACAACATCTGGTACAACACCATTTTTCTAGCTCAGAAATTCTGTTTCTCTTATTTGTAACCCATTTGACTTTTTGATCAGTTGTATTTCAAAGATTAAGATGTTAAGTACCACACCTTTGGATGAATGTTCTTCTTTAATTGAAGGTCCTCTTCTTCAGGAAATCCGTTCTATCTTTTCCTTGTTTGTGCAAAGAGCTGAAACAAACAGAACACTAAGATATGAAATTTAGCGCATTTCAGAAATTTGATTTATTTTAAAATCTGAAAATGCAACTCTTTAAAATTAAGTAAATAATGAATAGCCACACTGATTCTTTGTTTTTTCTAAAATTGTCAAAACTTATAGTATCTACTTGAACAAATGGTACACTGCTAAAATTAGAATATGCGTGGAATAAATGAAAGTAAATGTATTATTAAAAGTGGCCTGAAGATTCACGCGCAACCCATGGACACATTAACTCACTGCCACCACCTCACAAAAAATTGGAAGTTTCTTATTGCAGAAAATGAAAGGAGGAAAAATACAATCTATAAGGAATCATTCAATAATACTGTTTTAAAAATATAGAATATTAAAAATATAGGATAAACACAGAAAAAGATTACTCCAGTTCTATTGAAATGAAGGTGAATCTGTATTTGTTTTGCAGCATGCCAGCTTCCTTTTTTCCTTTTCTAATTTTAAATATAAGCATATAGATAAAGCAGGAAGCCTGGCAGTGTATCTTTGAGCACACTGGTGCATCCAACATTATTCACTCATATAAAGGTATTACAATACCAAACATTTTATTTCAGTTATTTTCCTAATGATTTCTATATGGTGTCCACTTTTTCATTTTTTTCAACCCACTGGAATGTTGGGGAAAAAATACATAAACAGGCTGGAAGCTGTGTCTATCAGCTTCACAGCAGGATAACTCTCCAAACACAGAACAGATGGGACCAGATTTGAAGTGACGGGAGAAACCAGCAAAAGAAAGATGTGAGTTCAAGGATGCACAGGGTGACTTCTGGAGGAAGAAATAGGGGACTGAAGATGGCTCTGTCAAAAATGGAGCCAACAACTGCGGTGAAGAATGAAGAGCTGTCAAGTAGTCTGGCTCTTTGAACCTCTCCAGACAAGGAGAGGACTTGAGATCGCCCACAAGTGCTCCAGACAGCTGCTCCTCGCAAGGAGACCGCACGATAGCAGTCTCTGGTGGGTTTAGAGCTTTGGGAAACAAGGGAATAGCCATCTTGCTCAAACTGCAGTTGGCGCCTTTGAAAGGACACTAAGTTTGCACACTTCCTTTTCTAATCACTTTTGGAAATTGCTTATGTGCTTTTCAGTTATTAGAAACCTTTGGATCAACAAGTCTGACAGCACCAGTTGAGTTTTCCTTCAATCCTTAGTGAAAGAAAATTTTAATTACAAGCTAAAAACTTAAAAAAATATTTTTTGGAATAAACAGCTAAACAGTGATTAAAACTTTGATTTTAGAAAGTTATAAATGGACTAAGGGTCCAAATAAATTTGAAATGAGATTTGGAATTAATTATAAAGAATCTGTCG